GAGTGGGGAGGAAGGGAGGGAGGGGAACGAGTGGAGTGAGGGGGAAGCTTACTAATGGCGCATCGCGTGGTAGTGCGCCATTACTAGTTAGAACTAGTAATGGCGCACTTCGACCTGATGCGCCATTAGTATGTATGGAAAAATGGAAAAAAAAAATTAATACTAGTGGCGCACCCTCTTTCTGGTGCGCCATTAGTGTCTTCCGCACTAATGGCGCATCACCAACAGGTGCGCCATTAGTATATAGTAGTGGCGCACTACTTCCATGATGCGCCATTAGTATCGATCTTATCTATAGCCCTTTTCCTAGTAGCGCATATGCAAAAAAAATCCTTACAAACTAAGACTACTCATATTAGAAAGGAGAAAGCTTATATTACCATGGAGAGAGGCAAAGTGATTATGCTTGTGATGGTCATCCTTCCATGCCTCATCATATTTTCCCAGGGTGAGTACCCAACAATAATTAGTTGAACTTCTCGTAAAGATATTGGTTAGTTCTATATCATTTTGGGAAAAATCCCATTGAGAACCATCACTAAGTTATTTTGAAATTTTGTATAAATTTTTGTAATACTTAATTGAATGAGAACACACTTATTTGCATATGCAGCTCAAGCAACTGATCAGGTGGATAGCGGCAAGATCAAGTTATGCATATGCCCAGAGAAAGATCCACCATGCCCAAATGGTTTGTGCTTCTGTTGTGCACCGGAGCAAGAACGTTGCTTTAGGACTAGGAAATAATGCATTTGTGAACCTGGTTGCCACCAGCCTCCTTCGGATGCAACGGGAAAATATTTGGTACTCTCAACCTTGGGGTACTCTCGGTGCTCCAAGTTTAAAAACAAATCTTAAATGCTTCAATAAATTCCGGTAAAAAATTTAAATGTTCGTAAGGTATGTGACTACAACCCCTAGAAATTTCATGTCCATACTCGAAATGTACATTGAGAAACAAAAATGTGAAATCCAGATGTGAATAGCGTCAATGTTGATTTTGTCTTTTTTTTATACTATTCATGCTAGATTTCACTTTTTTTTCGTAGTGTGCATTTCGAGTTTGGACCTGAAATTTTTAGAGGTTGTAGTAACATTCCTTGCGAACATTTAAATTTTTTCTGGAATTTTTTGAAACATTTATAAATGCTTTTTTTAAACTTGGAGCACCGCGAGTACCCCAAAGATGGGAGTACCTGATACTTTCCCCAGATGCAACCTACCCCCGTCCCCTCTCTTTGCCTTAAAACACTGTTTCAGATTGTTGTGATGAAAAGTATTGTCATGAATATCTTGGAGTAAAGAAATAAGTTATAATCATCGCATGGTTAGCTTTATGTTCCTTTGGATTGAATTGATATATAGGCATATTGTTTTGTTTCAAAGTGTAGCCTGGGCTATATATGCCATGAACTACTGGGAGTATGAACTTTTTAAGGTATATTTTTGTGATTGGCACAAAAGTACTAACCATTCTAGCGGAAGACCGTTGCACTAGGACCATGGAGAATGATAAAAAGGTTAAACTCCCGACTGTGGCTTCTAATTTGCGATCTTCCATCTTGCCCTCCTTGGAAAATAAATTATATATATGGTTATGTTATACATTGACTTTGAGCGGTACTCCTTCCATTACATAATTATTGTCATGATTTTAGTTTAAATTTGAACTAAAACTACGACAATAATTATGGAACGGAGGGAGTACAAGGCTAAATATTTTCTGAATGCATACAATTTTTTTATTCATGCATAATGTGGACGGAGTTCTTTATCAGCTGACCATCTGCTCGCCTCGGGCTTAAGCCCAAATATGGGTTTTGATTGGACTTTTCCTTTCCTGCAAATTCAGTGCGACGGGGCCTGATTTTGTTTGAAGCACTGTTTAAAATTGTAAATAGAATTCACAAAAGCAAAATTTCCTACAAGCAAGAACTCCTTTGGAACCCTGCATATATATTCCCTACATTCCGAACACACCCTTACAGGTTGAACTCTAATTGTGCTACTACCACACTCTCATTTCTGAATCTAGAACACCATCAAAAGAACATGTATTCATTTTCGCAAAAAAGACAAAAAATATATTCTTACCAATTAAAACAACACGGAAAAATACATTTACTAACGTCCTCACTCTGTCAGACTACCATTTTTTTTTGCATATATCAAGGTTTGAGATTGCTATCCGGGTCTTGCCACCCGGTGTCAGACTACCCATCTTGTGTCAACACTGGGTTATTTTGAGTACATTGAGCGAATTTTTAGAACTTGGGGGCATCTTAAAACATGTTCTGTCCTATCAGAGTCGTTCCTTTTTCTAAAAAAATCAGAGTCGTACTGAAATTTGAAGCAGCGCATAGGATGGGATATGGAACACAACACAATGTACAACTTATGACGTGCCTCGATGCAGTCTGATCAATCAGCAATCATGAATCATATAGGAGTATTAGACGGCATGTTCGATACTGGAAAGTTGTTGAGCAAACACCCAGCAGCCTAAACGGGCGCACATAAAGTTGTCCAGGAGTGGACGCACACAAACACCCAGCAGCCTAAACAGAGCTGCCCTTTTTAATACAGTACGAAATATTAAATAGCAGATACAGAATTGGCTTACAGACTCGTCGGGCTTCTGCACTACTAGGGCCAAATCATCGGATCCGGGGGCTTGATGTACGTGCCCTGGAAATTCTACAGTAATTCAGTCTCTAGGCTATCCCATGTACCGATCGAGTTCGGCGGTAAGGTGTGTAGCCAGTGCCAAGCACTCAAGCAGAGTCTTTCAGCTTTAAAGGTAGATATTTTATGAAGGATTTTATTATTCACTATTCACTAAATATGGAGGATTTTATTCCTGGCAATTAATAGTAGATGATAAGCCGTCAGCTCAACACAATTAATTATTACTAAACATAGACCAAATTGGTTGGCTATATATACAAACATATAACAGTTAGCAAGTATACGGTTGTCAGCCATATGCAAAAAATCCTTACAAACTAAGACTATTCGTATTAGAAAGGAGAAAGCTTATATATTACTATGGAGAGAAGCAAGGTGACGCTTGTGATGATTATCCTTCCATGCTCATAATATTTTCTCAGGGTGAGTACCCAACAACAATTAGTTGAACTTCTCGTAAAGATATTGGTTAGATTTATATAATTGTGGGCAATCCCATTGAGAACCATTACTAAGTTATTTTGAAATCTTGTATAATTTTTCGTAATACCTAACTTAATGAGAACACACTTATTTGCATATGCAGCTCAAGCAACTGATCAGGTGGATAGCAGCAAGATCGTGATATGCCTATGCCAAGAGAATACTCCACCCTGCCCAAATAATTTGTGCTTCTGTTCTGTACTGGAGCAAGAACTTTGCTTTAGGTCCAGGAAAGAATGCATTTGTGGTTCTGCTTGCGGCCAC